GACTTCCTGGCTGGCAGCTGAGGAGGCAAGAAGACTCGCCACTGTGACGAGGGACTCTTCTGCCATCCCCTGCTTTCTCAGACTGACTTCGGGTGCTTCTCTCGGGACCCTTGCACCCTCCCCTTTGGAGCCGGCCCCAGACTCACAACCGGCCGAGGCGCGGCAGGCTGACCGCGGAAGGGATGGGCATGAAGCCTTTTCCAGCTGAAGGAGATTTACAGGCGTGAGAACCTTGAGGGGCAAGTCCCACCTGTGTCTCACCCTGAACCTTACCACATGCGCTTCCAGCCTCTGCTGAGTGCACTGATTGAGGAAGGGAAGCTCCCTGGAGGTGTTCACACAGGGTTCCCCACTTTTTGAGAGTCCTAGGCTTCCAGTCCCCACGTGAGTGTCAGACTTGGAAAAAGCCTGGTTGGCAGCAAGCCAGGATCGACACACTCTCACAGGGATCAAACCCTGGTTGATCTGGCCCACCTTCGAGCCCAAATGGACTTTCAGGAGGCTTTGTAGACGCGCCTTCTCTTTGTTTCTCAGTAAATCCTCTCCGGAGTCACTCCTTGAGGGCCTCACCAAGTCCCTTTCGGACTCTTCCGAGTCCGGTCCCAGAACCTTCACTGGGGAGCTTTCCACGCCCCTGGACAGATCCTTCAGGGCTTTCCCCAGGATGTGCCCCAGTTTTGTGCCTGGGTCCTTCTCTAGCTGGAAGTTCACCGTCTGTACATCCTTGCTGCTTTCACCCCGAGACAGAGAAGACCGCAAGGGTCTGTCTTTGACCTTTGCCTGACATGGCTCTGCGAATGTGTCCTGGAGCTGCATCTTTTCCAGAGATCCTTGGATCCTTCCCAGGTCGCAGCGGTGTTGAATGAGCCACTTTTGGACGTGCTGCTCCAGTTGCTTCCGGAGCTCAGAGATGATTGGAAAGTCCTCGGGAAGAATGGAGGTCAAGCTCTCCTGGGAAAGGTCAGGTGTGACGCCGAACAGGTCCTGAGATCTCTGGGCCCCAGAGGGCCAAGCTCCCCCACTTTTTATCTGCTTCCTCCATAAGGGCCACTCTGGGCGTCGGGTTTCCGTTGGGACCAGAGCTTGTGGCTTATTCTGAGACACACGATGAGATACATCGTAGTCCTTAAACCAGGGTGGAGAGGGAGGTGGTAGGATTGAGAAAGAGGATTGGAGATGCACCTGGGTTTGGGCCTGAGCCGCGGGCAAGGACTGAAATTGGGGCCTAAATGGAATCAAGGCCTTGGATTGGGGCTCCGGATGGGACAGTGGCTGGGCCTGGGAAAGCAGTGGGGATATCATAGCCTGCACTTGAACTAGGCAGAAATGTGAGATTCCATGGAATAAGAAGAAAGGAGGCTGTAATGTGGAAGAGCTCTCTGAGACCCAGGCAGTAGCCACCAGGGATTCGCCGTGCAGGGCGGGAAGACCCCAGAAAAGCTGGCCATATTTCTTCTGAAAATGGTCCCCAAAGATGTTGGGATCTGGGAATTTCGGAGGTCCAGGCAGCTGTTCTGATTTGTTTTCCAAGAGCCAGAAGGGTTGGGGGCTTGTGGTGTCCTCCTCAGCGCCCAGCAACTTTAGCACATGCCACAGAGCACTCAGGTGGTGCTCCGGGCTCATTTGCTCTGGAGAGGAGCCATCTTTTTCCTTTTCCTGCCAAATCTTGATCTTCACTGTCTGTGAGACTTGTATCTTAACGAGCTTCTGGTCGTCAGAGCTGAGCAAAAAGAGGCTGCCAGCCTCCATCTGCCTGTTTATGGGGTCTCTCCTGAACGAGGCCTCGGGTGGGTGGCGGGAGAGATGTTCTTGCCGGGACTTACAAACTGACAAGATGGAGAGGCACCGGGTTCTGGCAGCCACCTGCCACCAGGAGGGGGCAGAGAGGGGACTGCTTGAACGACCGAGGTCTGAGATGGCCAGAATGGGTGAAGCCGACACACACTTGTATGTGTCAAAGTGAGAGAGAGTCATGATGGGGTCCAGCAGGTATGGAGCTGTGAAGCTTTCTAGAGGGTGCAGACAGAGGGTGGAGTTGGGGGGCAGTGGTGGGGGAAGGGAAAGCACACGTGGCCTGGGTGAGGAGCATTCTAGGGGAGGCAAAGGCTCTGGGGGTGGGGCGGCCGTCGGGGATGAGTGTGAACCACCAGAGACTGGGGTGATCGGGGCTGGCAGAGGGCTGGAGGCCAGAGGCAGAGGACACTCAGTCCGAGCAGCCGGGGAGGCCGAGGCGGACAGAATGAGAGCAGCGTCTTCCACGTGCTCCCCGCGTGGCCGGGGGGCTTCAGCGGCTGCTTTTTCGCACACCTCACCTAGCGGGTATCTGTGTGAGAGTCGATGAAAGCTGTCCTTGTCAGGGGGCATCCCCAGGTGGCTGCAGGAGACACGAGGCACAAACTGCAGCTAGGAGCAGGGGGGCCCGAGGGCAGGGACAGGCACGGGCGGGCCCCTCCCCTGCCTGACACTCTTCCTTTCTAGTTCTCCGGCTGCCCCTCACCTTGGGAATGGACGCACACACCTGTCTGCACCGTCTCCCCCTCCCAGGCCAGCTCTAGACTTCCCTGCGGCCCTGCTGTCACCTCCTAGCCTCTGGTGGGAAGGGCACAGGGGAGCAGGGGACAACGCCTCACCTCTGCCGAAGGGAGACCAGGTCCTCGACTCCCTCCAGTTCCCCCAGGCGGTCTCCACGGGCTAGAAATCAGGCGATGACAGGGTTATGGCGGGGAGGAAGGGGGTGGAGAGTTCACGGAGGCTGAGGGGACGTTCCATGAGGGGAGACCTGGGGAGCTGGACTCTGCAGCTCAAGCATCCACGTCCAAGGCCACGTGGGTCTGGCAGCAAGAGCAAGGTGCAGAGTGGACAGTGCTTTGCCATTTAGAGTGAGTCCACCCCCATCCCTCCACGGTCCTCCCAACGGCTGGGCGGGCGGGAAGGGGAGAAAGGGCAGGGGTCGTCTCGAAGGTAAGCAGCCTAGCGGAGTTGCCCGCAGGAACCCGGAGGACCCCCTCCAGGTCCAGGCCGTCCCTGGTCTTCTGTCCCCTGGCACCACGGCGACATCCATCCCCGACGAGGCATGGCTTCATTCCAGCATAAAATCTGAGAGGGATCCCAGGTTCTGGCTTCTTTCCCAGGACCCTCCCCGTCAGGCTTCTGCGACTGACTTCCTCAGAGACTGGAGACTCCCCCCTGAGACGCCGGTTGGCCAGGCTGCTTTAACTCTCGGGTCCCCGGGCAGAATGGCCGAACCTTACCTTTCAGAGCTCGGTTCTTCTTCCTGCTCCTGAGCCTTCCCCTGGTCCCCGGTGGACTCTGAGGGACAAGAAAGTGCCGGGGACTGGGACCAGTTCCCACTTTCCTCTCCCTCGACAAGCCGCAGACATTAAGAGCTCAGAAGGGCATACTCTTCTATTCTATATCTTGCTAATGGAGCACTGTCCTTTTCTTTTATTCACTCTTAAAAGTGGATACAAAACATGTTCTGCTTTTCTTCTTGTAAAACACAAAGAGGCATTTTCTACATGAGATTCACCATCG